ATAAGCTTTTTTTAAGCCATTTGAATGGCAGATTTGCAAGTACAATTTCATCTGTAGAGGGGAACAATAGCTTTCAGCTGCACAAAGGCCTTCTCCCACCCTGAATTCAGACCGCAGTGCCTCTTGCTCTGATAATAGCTTCTGAAAAGATTTTGTAATGCAGAGAATTAATACATGATTATTTCCGCCTGACTTCTCTCATTTATTAGAATTCTGTGGCAAATTCCAAATTAAAAATAGTTCAGTTAACAGCTTTAAAAAATACTTTAAAATATTTCAAGACACCCTTCTCCCCTCCCCATTGTAAAGTTTGGTCTCTTGTCCAGGCTTGAAAAAATGCTTCGCTAAAAACTGTGCTCAGTTTTAAAGTGATAGCAGCTACATTTTAATAAATATGGCTTAGTAAATTTAGGAAGGAATTTCCAAATAATTCTCTAAGATGCCCATCTAGCCAAGAACAAATTGTTACAGTAGCTCATTAATAGCCTCTGAGACTAATTTCTGTTTCTCATGGGGGAGGTTTTGCAGTCATAATACCATGGGTCCCTAAAAGAGAGGGAGGGACATACTGTTCACCTTATCTTTAGTAAAGGCCTCTGCAAATCAAAGTGTGTGCCTGGAGTTGGGGGTGGTGTGTTAATACAGCCGGGAGCTGGAGCAAGGCTGCAAATCAGGTTCCTTAGAAATGCCACAGTGAGTGTGTCAGCACCAGAAATGTAGAGCTAATGACGCTGCATGTTTATGCCCATAACTTGTGTGTGTGTGCAAGCAGATTTTAAACTGTGAGCCAGAGGCTCAGATACCTGGCTCTTGTGGATTGGCTATGGCACACAGCCTTGAGGGAGATCTTTGTCTTGGTACCGTGTCTGCATTTGTTCTGTGTTGGTGTGGCTTAGTTCTCACAGTTAACTGTATGTCGTGAATCCCACTCCCCTCAGCTTACCAAACATTTAAAAAGTTTATAAGGGTGATTGTCAGGGGTGGCTCACAAGTCTTGTCACTGACAACACAAGTGTGTTTCAGGCAGCAGTGGGAGGGCTGAGCTCAGCCAGGGCGCCAGGCCTGTGGACGGTTTCCAAGAGTGGCTCCGTGACCTGGCCCTCCCGCGCCATGCTGACTTGGCCTCACAGAGTTTGCAATGCTGCATAGCCTAAGTTGGCGGAGCTGCAGGTGCCCAGGGAGCAGGGCATGCTCACACTCAGTTCTCCCTCGCCCGGCCTGCCTCTGAGCTGCTGCAGCCTGGCCCGATTGCTCCTGATCACCTCTGCCAGCCCTGCTCCGCTGCTGGGAACTTACTTGACAGTGCTGTGCCTTCTGTATGCTAGGTGCACAGACTCCCCCCAGCACCTCTAACAACTTGCTTCTGAGAGTGTCTCAGAGCTGCTCCAAACTTTCAGAAAGATCGTCCACTGTGCAGAAGGTGTTCTGAGTTTAAAAGACATCTGACTGTAAATGTCAAGTCATAAATATTTAAACATCATTTTCTTTCAATTTCAAGTCAAGACTGATAAGATGTCTTTAATTAGTCCAGGCTGTCATCCGGAAGGCCCAGGAAAGCCGCCCGTGGTCCACGCCAAACTGCTCCTCCCTGGAAGTCACCAGTGTGACAGGGACCGGGCACACACCAGCTGCACTTGGGTCTGCACAGGGACAAGCTCGCTTTGAAGCTTCCGGCGGGCTCACCTTTTCTCTCGAGGCTCCGAGTTAACAAGTATTTTTAAATTTGTTTTTTAGCTCCACAAAGAGAAAGGTGATAGGAGGTTAGGTTAACTCAGCCACTATCCCTAGAAAAGGAGGTCCGGCTGACATTAAAATACAGAGTTTTAGGAAATTTTATTTCTTCCAGGATTCTTATGGCCTGACCCAAAGCTGGCAGCTCTTCCCCATCCCATTCCAACCCTCCAGGGCAGGGCATTTGGAGCCATTGTCAGACAGAGAATGGTAGTATTTAAAAATGATGTCACACATGTACAATAAATATGATATAAAAGAGTTTATTGGACAGAGATGGAAAGAGGGAAAAAGAAAGAGAGAGAGAGAGAGAGAGAGAGAGTATGGGAAGTGGGCACCCTGAAGAAAGAGGGGCAAGAGAGCAAGAGAGGGAGGTAAGAGGCAGGGGTCCTTTTATCCCAGGCCCCTATGGGAGACCAATAATGACATCACAGGTGCCTAAGCAACCTGGGAATGGGCTACTACATCAAGATTCATGAACTAACAGAGAACCCCTAAGAGATAATTTTCACATTTGAGATGACCTCAGTCAGTTAAAATCCAGACCTCAATATCAACTCAAAGGAGTCCACCTTACCCCTCTATCAGACCTCTCTCCCCTTCAGCCTCCACTCTGCCCATCTTCCAGGGTACTCTCCTCTCCGTGCCCAGAAGCCCAAAGCTTCAGATCTGGGTCCTCTGCCAGCGGTGGGAGCCCCCTCCCAGGTGGCTAAGGGGGTCTGGGGACAGCAGTATAGTTGGCGCTGGCCCTGGGCACCAGCCACTCCTCAGGCCCAGAATGGAGGCCTGGGCAAGCTGACAGCACTCCCGTGCAGTGGCCCGCTCTGCTCTCTTCAGTTCTCCTGTATGGTCCAGGGAGAAAGGGTTTCTGCTCTCGCCTTGACAGTCTGGTTCAGTCTCAGTGAACCCCGGTGCCCTAGGGGAGAGGCAGCCAGGAGGAGCTGAGGCAGCAACTGGTTTAGAGTGGAACTGAGGAGGATGAAGCCTGCTGAGCTGCGACACCTCCTCCCCTTTTTCCGTGCCAGGCTGTTCACGGGGTCTGGTTGTCCCACAGGCTGGGGCCAGGTTCACTTCTGGAGCACCACCTGCCTCTTCCTGTGGCTCCGGAGTGCCCGCTCACCTGGCACTGCCGTCAGCCTGGCAGCAACTGTGCTCTTCCTCTGGGCCTTTGGCGATGTGGAGCTGTGGAAGCGTGGGTCCGGTGCAGAGCAGAGCGTACTGATGGGCTGTCGGTATGGCTCTCTGTGGCTGGTACTTAGAGCTATCTGAGAACCTAAAGCTGAGATGCTTCATGTTGGAAATGAGGAGGTTAGGGAGGATGGAGTTCCAGCACCATGCAGGACAGGTCCGCCCAAAGCCTGGGCTGCACCCTGGCTCAGGGACCCCTGCGGCAGCCCAGGAGCGCTTGGAGCCGGCTTCCTTCCACTGTCTTTGTTGTGGTACTCTGAGAAGAGGAGAGACAGGCTGGGGCGGCCGGGAAGGCAGCCACCGATGGGGCGATGGGGCGATGGGGCGATGGGGCGATGGGGCGGAGTGTGACCAGCTCCTGCCCTGACAGGCCTGGGACCTCTCTGAACCCTGGGAAGCTGCTCTGCTTTGCAAGTGATGCCTGGGCTCCCTGGCCGAGAAATGGCTTGCTCTTGCGCGTTCTGCACCCAGTTGCCTGTCCTGTGAGAAGGACAGCCTTGTGGGCCACAGAGGCACTGGCCGAAAGAGTTATTTGTGTGGTTTGGGTGCCTGCAGGTGCGGGGCAAAGACGCGTAGTCTGGAAACTGGAAAGGGACTTTGCTGGCTCTGCGGAGGGACGCGAGACTCCCCAAGACTTCTTTCTAGAAGCACTCCTGTGTGGGCCGGGCCGGAGTGGAAGGGGGAGGGGACCCAGGAGGAAGCCTGGAAAGAGGAGGAAGGTTCCACAGCCTTCTCCGCGTCCTTGTGTGCCCCTGGCCCGCGGCAGCCGCTGGGTGCTGGCCACTCAGGCCGGGGGCGAGGCGTCCCTGCTCCGGGTCTGCTGGTCCCCGCCCCATAGTCCCCTCGGCCTAGCCTTTGGTCTCCTTTCCTTTCTCTGTTCCATCCATTGCTGCAGCCCAGGAACCTCCCAGGTCCAGAGGCAAGCAGAACCAAGCCGCGCACCCAGGCAGGAAATCCCAGCGTTTTTTCTCATTTAACCCGCGTTTCCATTAACTCGGTCCCGGCGCCCGCTAATCCGCGCACCGAAGGCAAAAAAGCAGGCTAATTAATGACCAGCTTTTCCAGTCAAGACCAGCGATAATTGCTTTGGTGGCCTTTATGATTACAAGATAAAAATGGGCCCGGGCTGACATAAGAGACACTGTGTACACTCAGAGACTGGAGGAAACGAAGAGTTGGAAGGCTGAAAGCAGAGCAGAAAATTACTAATAGAAGAGAGATAATGAATAGGCCGGCCAGGCATTCATGGGGAAAAATCCATTTTGTTACCACGCGAAATTAGGCGGCGGAAAGGAGTTCGCTAATTGTTCTCCTCTCGTAGCAACCAGGACGGAGGCAGGGCGTGCTCTTCCATTCATTTCCCGAGTAATTGTGGGGGTTGCTGGCCGGGAGTCCTGGGCGATTTGCCGGCGGCCCTTCCATTTTCCTGTGGCGTGTTTAATTGTTGCTAATACACCTCCTAATGAAGCTAATGAGGGGGGCGCTATCTGGCTATCTGCCCTGGAGTTGAGTGACGTGCAGGAAAGGATTTTCTCACCTACTCCCCCAAGACGAGAAGTGAGCGCCCTGTTCTTAAATACCCTGCCCTCTTTTACGGCACAGTGTTCAGCACCGGGAGCTGGAGTTTAAGCCTTGCATCCCATGCAAAGAGTGGCTGAGGGGGTTTGGCTAGCCCATAGAATGCTTTCAGGCCAGGAACCAAGGCCCTGAGCCTGGCTGACTCAGGCCAGTGCCCTCTATGGGGGCTGGGCAGTTCTTAGCTCTGTTGCCATGCATGTGCTAAGCTGCAGTCGCTGGACAACCTGACTAGAAAGGACACACACTGTTTTACCTGAAGTAGCCAATTAGGCACCAAACGTGTTACATTAAGTTTGGAAAAGCCCACCGCTGGGTTTGCTCTTGCCTTGTGCCTCACAGTTTGGGGGTGCTGTGGCTTTGGAGTTTCTTTCCCAGCCTGCCCCTGCACGCCCCCTCCGCCCTGTGTTGATGCCGTGGTAAGCGTGGAGTTGCACACGGGGTGGGGAGGCTCTGCTTCTGCTCTGTCACGTCCTGAGCACTAACTCGCCCTCCTCCTTCCCCAGAAAGGGAAGCTCAAGCTCCTGCCACCCCAGGAAGAGCAAGAGGACTCCACCAAGTTCATTGTGCTCACCTTCCTCTCCATCGCCTGCATCCTGGGGGTGCTCCTGGCTTCCAGCCTTGCCTACTGTCTCCGTCACAACTCGCACTATAAGCTGAAGGATAAGTTGTCTGGACTAGGAGGTGACCCCAGCGCAGATGCCACTGAAGCCTACCAGGTAAAGACAACTTTTCAAAGCGCCCTGTTGCATGTAGCAACTCTATTGGTGGCAGCTGTGCCCCCCTTCATTCCTTACACTCTTTCATTAACTCATAGTTTGGGCTCTTTTCTGACTACAATTTGAGGCTTCTCATTAGCATTCATGTAAATACCTTGCAACCATGATTTTATGGCTCTGTGTTAATCTTACCCCGTTCTTGGACAGTCTTGTGCTGGCTGTGAAAGTAGGTTGCTAATTAGAAATGTGGAAAAAGCACAATGCATGAATTATGCATCACTGTATCTTAATGTGGCCACTATTAATGAAACGCGCCACAGTGGCAGCGTGAATTGATTGTGTAGATGTTTGAAGATGGCCTTCACACCATCAGCTTCCTTGGGGTCTTACAGGAAGGGATCTTTTGACCTGCTCTGTTGCCACCCTCTGCTGCTACCCCGAGAGAGGGAGGGAAGCCTAATGTTGATAAATGGAATGTGAGGTGCACAGGTCTTCATGACGCAGCAGTGGCACATGCTGGGACACAGACAGTCCAGAGAGGAGCCTGGAGACACCTGAGAGGCAGGTTCAAACACAAGAGGCGTAAACAACATCCCATAATTTGGGGGAGCTCGGTAGTGTATGTGTCATAATTAATGACTTTCTATGATGAAACTGTGACTTCATTCACCAGCCATGCAAGCCCAGGAGATATAGAATAGAAATCAGGGAATTCAATTTTCTTTATATAAAATATCATTTAAATCTAAATATTTCTTATTTAGGAATATTAAATAACTCACTTGATTGCTACTTTTGAAGGTTTAATCAATATGCATTTGTAAGATTTTCCTCTCCTTTATTGAATCATTTGTCTTTTCGGCTGTGCTGTATAACGTCTTGTCGGTAGCTCACATGTCACAGCATATATAAGGCAAATGCTGTCTGCCCTGTTGTCAAATTTGCTTCAGTGAGCTCTCAGGTTCTCCAGGAAATACCCACTGTCCAGTAGCTGCCCTCAGCTAGTCTGCACTGGCTGAAGCTTGCTCTGTGGCTGTCCTGCCTCTGCCCCACATGGCAAGTTGAGAAGAATTTATAAAGCCCCTGTGCTTAAAAGAGATGAGGAGACAGCTTTTGCTCCCATTTCAAAATTCTTATCATCATCACTGGATGGAGAACAGCTCTGGTTTTCTGAAGGGGGTCACAAGCCTGGTCAGGATGATCTTTTTCTTATAAAGAAATGGCAACTTCAAATGCATTGAAGATGGCATTTCAGGCACAGAACACATAGCTTTGCTTCAAAGCCAAAGAAAAACCATGTTTGAAGAAGCAGCCTGGAAAAAAATGTCACATAAACTAGTAAGAATTTACCCAGAAATTCTATTGAGCAAGACCATCAATAGAGGATGCCAGGTCCCCAGGGCCAAGCTAGTGTCAGAGCATAAATAAATAATCACACTCGCCAGTTCTGTGTGTGAGAGACAGAGATCATAGGACAGAGGTTTCTAGAAAGCATGGCATCCTTTGATATACTTTGAAATTCAAATATAAAATATTGATAGAATGAAAGGTTGGACTTGCATGCAGAAATGACTAATTTTTATAAAACTGTGAGTAGAAAATGCATACTTATGACTGAGTTTGTGATAATTAAAAACAACAACAAATATAAAAACCCTCTTCCCAGTGACAGCTCTAATTAATAGTATCTGTAATTAAAATCATGTCCTTGCAGCAAGAAAACTGTTTGAATTTCTTAGAGTGACCTTTTTGTGTTCCTCCTGGGGGCATGGTGGTTAAGTTGATATTGATTTTATAATGAGCTCTGGTTTGTTTAATAAGAATCTGTAATCCTGACAATAAATGAAATGTGTGCTTTTCTTCAATCCAGATTAATAAAAAGAAGACAGGGGAAACTTTTCTTTCAAAAATATAACCTAGAAAAAAATGGAAGTGAAATGATTGAAAGAATTTTCTGTTGAGCTTATTTATGAAGAAATCGCTAAATACCATATAGCATACGCCCCCATAGGATGCATCCCCCCCCATCCCCCCCATCCCCCCAATCCCCCCCATCCCCATGCTTCTTGGAAGGAGCATGCGCTGTACAGTCCTGTTGCTTTGGCTTGTTTTCAGCAGCACCGGCCTCAGCACGTGGCGATCACGTGGTCGTCAGCTCTGGGTTTAGCTGGGTACACTGAGGGCTTGCACTTGTGGCTGCTCAAGGAACAGTTATGTGGGAGTAAGAAGCAAGTGTGAAACCGTGGATGCTGCCTTATGGCTTTGCATTTCCCATAGCTGTCATTGAAACAACCTTCATTTGAAAACATCTTCTTAAAAGTTAAAAAAAAAAAGCAAATTGAGAGTCTGTGGGATGATTCAGTGAAAGAACCGATGCCCAGAACCCACGTGGTAAAAGGAGAGAAGCAACTCTCACAGTTACCTCCCCACAAACACAACATGGCACGACCCCTCTATAAATACATGTAATAAAAAATTAAACTATAAACAAGCAACTGTAAATTTCAGGGAAAGGGTCCTCTTGAATTAATGCATCTACTATTAAATCTTTGTGTGTCTGAGGGTGTACCTCAGCTGTAGAGCACTTGCCTAGCATAAATTTCATTGCCATTCATATATATACATATATGAATATATATATATATGAGAGGTATTTGTGCTTCCATATTTGCTTATTCTGTAATTGAGGCTATGAATAGGCCTTGTCACATATTTCTTCAGTGATCACAGGGACAACTGAACAGTTTGCCACTGTGCTTTATTTCGTGGGGACATGACAGAAAAATAGTTCATGTCTCTAAAGAGGAAAAGGGCGCTGGTGTGAGCAGGTTAAAAGTTTCCCGGGATGTTGGTGGCTGGCAGCACTAGTTGTGATCACCCACAGAGAGTGATGTTACCTTGGAAGTGGAGGAGCCCAACGCCTGTGTAGGGAGAAGGTGGGGTAGATCACAGGTGTTCTGACTGTGGAGAGAGGGGAGGCAGATATGAGGGCTATGGGCCAGACTTACTGCCTCTGGTTGCAACTTTCCTTTCTCCTCAGCCCAAAGGAGAACCCTCATGCTGAGTAGCGCAGGTTCGTGTGGTGGGAACGTGTTCTGGGAGGCCCCTCTTTGGTGGACCTTTCTGCAGCACAGGTGGGCAGGCTGTGTCCTCCACCGCCGTCCTTGTGCATAACCCTGGAGGCCACGCACTGTGAGTGACCATCTTCAAATGGCCTCCAACCACTCTGGAATGTAACTTATTAGATTGTATTACAAATATCTGTAAACATGCTCATTTTTCTTCCCATGTATTTGTATGTATATACCCACCTGTGTGAGAGGGAGAGAGGGGAGAGAGAGAGAGAGAGAGAGAGAGAGAGAGAGAGAGCCACACAGTGTGCTGGAATCCACAGAGGCCAGAGGAGGGTGTCAGATACCAGGAGCTAGAGCAGAAGGTGTTGTGAGGCACCATGCATGGATGATGGGAACAAACTCTGGCCATCTGGAAGAGCAGGGAGCGTTCTCAACTTCTGAGTGTGCTCTTTCTCTTCTCTCTCTCTCTCTCTCTCTCTCTCCTATTGAGAACCAAATCTCCTTGAACTGTTCTTACATTTGATCTTGGTCCAGGGCATCAGTGATGTCATCGGTGAGGTCTGACTTGTGCATGCTTTTAAATTAGGGTGCTGACAGCAAAAATGCACATTTAAGTTCATAGTCACTGTGCATGCCGGCAGAACTTTTCCCATTGTTTCAGTAAGTGTTGTTTTTCCTATAAATTCATAAGACATGCTTGGGTTAAACCCGTCCTTCATCATCTGAAAAAAACCCTGTGTTAACTGCTTTCTCTTTCAAATGGGCTTAAAATGTTGTGTGTGCTTACATGCGTACATGCCTGTATGAGCACACCCATGCGCCCACTTTTCCACAGGCACCAAATCGTGATGGTTGGCACTAGGGTGCTTCTTGCCTCCTATTCATGCAGGTGTCCTAGTTCTATGGAAGGTGATTGGGCAAAAACTGTGCCAAAAATAAGTTGTTAGGTGATTAGAAGACATCCTCGCCTTTTCTCTCTGAGTCCCTTTGAATGCTGCATTTTTTTTTTTTTTGAGGCTTTGATCATCTCTGAGCAGTGAGTTAAGTATTCTGCTGGCCCACTCTCCCTCCCGACACAGGGCTAGAGACTCCTGCAGAATGTTCAGCAACTTCCCTTTTGATGGTTTATTTCACAATACCCAGCAGGTTTTCCCGTGGTACTTGGAGGCCTTTGGAACTAACCCCAGAGGAGAGGGCACATCAAGCTGCAGGACCGCCTGCAGATCATGCCTAAGTGTGCGCCCTGGCTGCTGCGCCTCTGCTAGCCAATGATCGTTAACATGATGACCGGGCCACGTGAGCACTGCCCTTTGCTTCGTGCACTTGTGCCGATGCCCTGCTTCCTCTGCTGAGGTTACGCATTGGCTCGTTCTCCCATGACTTAACAGACCCTGCTCTGTCTAGGTGAGTTCAATTCTCCATAACTGGTGTGGTCATCAGCCACGCAAATGGGGAAAGCACTGGCTGCTCTAATGAAGTCAGAAACAGTGAGTTCCCCGGAAGCACTTGACCTCACCACAGCTTTCAGGAAAGCCTTTTCCATTTGACTTGGCTCTGTGTTTTCAGATAGCTGTCCTGGCTTTATGAGTAAATTTTCAGGTTGAAATATTTTTGTGCAAATATCCCCAAAGCAAACTCTCTCCTGCTTCAAAATTAGACAGAGACCCTAAAATCTAATGTTGTTAGTGACATTTCTGCTTACTGAATAGTCAGTCCTGAGAATTGGGGTGTTTCTATTCTATCTTTGCAAACGTTGCTGAGTGTAGGCAGAGTTCTTGCCACCTGCCCCTATGCCAGTGCGGCTGGCTCCTCCAAGGTGGCCTCCTGCTGCTCTGCCTGGTCCTGTGATGTCCTGAAACATTACTGGTCCTTCCTATAAATTAAGCAGATGCTAAGCGACCGTTTAATTGGTACCAAATTGCATGT